GGAAGGAAGGAAGGAAGGAAGGAAGGAAGGAAGGAAGGAAGGAAGGAAGGAAGGAAGGAAGGAAGGAAGGAAACAAACTTTTCCAGCCCTCTCTAAGCGGTTTACAGAGTCAGCCTCTTGCACCCAACCATGGGGGCTCTCATTTGACCCACCTCAGAAGCAGTTTTCTTAGAATCCACTTTGAGTTTTCTCAATGTGTAGTGAAGGAGCAGTATGGCATTCCCAAGTTCTAGTTGACTTTCTTCCTCCAGTTCTTAGTTTTATCGTAAACATTAGGCCCTCTTGAGGATTTTCACACAAATATTCTACTAGGGCAGAGGTGTGGAACTGTGGCCATTTGATAACTTATGGACTCCAACTCCCAGAATCCCTGAGCCAGGTGGCACCACTTGAAGTCCACAAGTCATCAAAAGGCCCCAGTCCCCCACTTCTGTGTTAGGATATTGCCTGTCCAGATTTCGCAAGGAGCTGCCCTTGGCTTCGAACAAACTAGAACAATGCAAGCTGAAAAGCGGCACTATTGTTTACTCCAAGGAAATTTACTTCTGCAGGGTACCTGTGTGCATATTTATCTGTGTTTGCCCTGCACTGCACACATGCAGATACATGCATTATACACATATATGCCTATTTTGTTACAAACCCAAACAATATTTCTTATTTCCTAATCATATATATTTTAAAGTTCACCTCTCAGGTGCAAGTAATTTTAATATGTGTATATAATTATGATTCAATCATTCAACCTTTTCTCCCCCAGATCTGTGGGACCTAGCTAGTTCCCAAAGTAGTATTTAAAAGCATGGAAATACAAAATAAATCAGACATTTCTGTTATTTTTTCCAGCTTATTTTTTTTATATTCTTGGATCTATTCTTTCCTTCCTCCCTCCCTCCCTCCCTTTTCATACATGCAAAGGCTGTTTAGTCTTCTCATTCATGTTTCCTTTGAAATTAGTGTATCTTATGCAGATAAAGAGAATACCACTCATCTATCAGTGTTATTGGAGGTTGTTTGTTGCCCACAAGCAATTCTGCTGCTGTACCCTCAGGATATCGAGTTGTTGGCCCTCACAGTTTTACCCTGTCTTGGGATTAATCAGATGTGGCGAACCACAGAGAAATAAAACTCTCTACTGTGAATTGCATGGGCCATTTTGTGACTATATAGAGGACATTCACTTTAGTGGAGTTGAGTAGATCCCAGCACTCAGCAAAAAAGACATACAGAATCTTTCAGAATGGTATATACAATCCCTCTTACTTTAAGTTCTTAGACTAGAAAGATATGGATGTTACATATCTCATACCCTGTACATGAGGTGTCACATCCCTCATCTTTCTCCCACTTCCTTCAAACTGGTAAAATTCCAAATAAATTATTTAACTTCAATGTCATTATCAAACTTCATGACATCTAGTATAGTATTGGCTGAAAATGTCCATGTCCATGTCTTGGAATGCCAGGAAAAAGAGACAATCAGCAAGGAAACAAAGGCAAGTTTGTATAAAAAGTGGAAAATTGCATTTCTAGGCACAGGAATATTCTCTGCCACTCATCCTCCAAGCAAATAAAAGTTGTATCTACCAGTCGTGGCTGCCTCTTCCCAACTGTCTCCCTTCATATGTAACCATGATTTTAAAATGCAACGTTCATACTAATTTTTAAAAATAATAAATATGAATAAATAACCTTGCTTAAAGAAGAGATAAGACTGACAGACAGGGGGACTAATAGAGATAACTCCAAGAAAACAGCATAAAATGAATGAAAGTGTTCCCTTAAAATCGGTATTCTCAAACCATGTGTTCCAGTGCTTAAAAAGCAAAACAAAAAGGACTGTAGAAAATTAATTGAAGGGGGAAAAATGTTTTATCTTGATGAAGAGTAGGAATAGGAGAGGAGAGCTTGAAAGGATTAGAAGAAGAAAAAACCCTTCAACTTCAAAAGATGGAGATTTCTCCCCTCAAAGCAGGCTTGCTGGTTCAACCCACTTCAACCCCAACCTCCCTTCTCAATAAAGACAAATAAAACTGTGTTTTAATAAAAGAAATACTCACAGTAACTGAAGAGCAAAAAGCCCTTCAAAAAGGCCCTTGGGAAGTTCGGTGATTTTGTTTCCATAGAGAACCCTACAACAACAACCACCACAACAAAAATGGTTAATTAATGCATCTAGACATTTTCGACCACCATATTCCCCCAGCAATAGTAGAACAAAGTTCTCATGAAAATACTTTTGAATAACACAATTTTATCTGCCAAAGTTCCACTATCAGGCTCTTAATAAGGAGTTGGCGTTGGTCTGGTTAGTTTTTCTAAAAGTATTCTAATTATTTTCACAGATGTCTTCTGACCTAAATCACATTATTAGCACAGAGTGTTCTGAGAGTGATGCTTTACAGGAAGAAAATTGGTTTGAATTGTTGTTGTTTTTGTTGTTGTTTTTAAATCTCACCTATTTTTATAAGTAACTCAAGGCGGCAAACATACCTACTACCCCTTCCTTCACCCTATTTTCTCCACAATAATTGCCTTGTGAAGGGAATTGGGCTGAGAGAGAGAGAGTGACTGGCTCAAAATCACCCAACTGGCTTTCATGGCAGGACTAGAAATCAAAGTCTCATGGTGATTAGCCCAAAGTCACCCAGCTCGCTTTAATGCCCAGCTAAAATAAAGCCATCTAAATCAGGATTGCACAACTTGACTAGTGGCATCACATCAAGTGCATATCACACCAGGGATAACAATGTGTGTTGACTTCCTGCAGAGTTTCTGTGCAAATTACACCATTGGCACACAGGAACAGTTGCAGGATTTGGGTTTGGCCAGTCTAGAGAAAAGAAGGACTAGGGGAGACATGATAGCAGTCTTCCAGTATTCAAGGGGCTACCCCAAAGAAGAAGCAGGGGTCAACTTCATTTCCAAAGCACCAGAAGGCAAGACAAGAAACAAAGGATGGAAACTCATCAAGGAGAGAAGCAACCTGGATTAAGGAGAAACTTCCTAACAGTTGGGACAATCAACCAGTGGAAAGTTGTGGGTACTTCATCATTGGAAGAGCCTGGACAACCACTTGTCTGAAATGGCCTAGACTAGAAGACCTCCAAGGACTAGAAAACCTCCAAGGTCCCTTCCAACTCTATTCTGATTGGAATGAAGGAATGGACAACAGCTGTATAGTTTCATTTTGTCATGGAATGAATATTTGTGTGGAGCAAACAACCTCTCTACATTTCAGACATGAGGTACAGCTAGAATTTTCAGTAGCTTGAAAACTCCCTAAACATTTCAGGTCTAATCGAGCTTAAGCAGGCAGCATATGGAAGGGTAACTGCGACAGAAGTTGAGACGCATAAAATTTGGGGGAACCAGCTAGCAGAACTACAACAGTGCAATTTTATTTCCTTTTCTAGCCCTCTGGTGAGTACAATGGAGTTTGATAAATAGCTTCTACTATGGTACATTTGCGAAGGGATTCAGAATATGGAGAAGAAGGAAAACATAAGAAGGTGCTTATTTTTATTTAACTCAGGAAAGCAACCGAAGAAGCAGTTAGACATCAGAAAAAGAAAAAAAAACCCACAGGGAATGAATTTGCAAGTCTTGTTCCCACCAGACTTCCGAGCTGTATTTAGCAGCATAGCCTAAAATCTATAAGCATTTGTCTGCGCACATACCTACCGTCTGGAAAACAAATATGCTATTGAAAATTGAGTGCAAATGGCCTTAGAAATAGTTTTTAAAAGAACTTGCATCAGGGACATGCACTTTAAAAACCTGTTTCGGGATAATGTACATGTCAAGGAGTGAAAACAGCTGATCTGCATTAAAAATAATGCAGACAATTTAGGGTAAGAGTAACATAAAAGAAAGAAAATTCTGCACGTTAAAGAACATTGCAGACTCCAAAGACTAAAGCTGACTACACATATTTCTAAAACATCTGTAGAAAAAAAATATTGAATCCATATATCTTTACATAGCACAGCAGGATTTTTTATATATATAATTTGCCCAAGATGGGGTGAATTCTACCATTACATTACATGAAACCAGTGTATTAATTAAACTAGCTGGATTAAATAGCGAAGCTGAACTTTAAATTAAAGGTCCAACTATCCTTACTTATTAAGTTTACAGTTTCCTAGGAACAGATTTGAAACTGTCTTCACCTCAGACTAGGATTATTTTCACTACATAGGATTATTTTTTAAAACAAATTTACAGTCATTAAAACTTCATATGCAAAATCTGCAGTCAAGATGAGTTAATGTTTCCAAAAAAATCTAGTTGTATTAATATATGATAATATCATTTGAAGCCCAAGTTCAATGGCTTAACTGGTTTAAAGACAAGTTACTGGTAAATTAGGATGACAATACCGTAAGTGTAATAATAGCACAAATGCTGGAAATGAAATATTTTTAGCCCTGACATGCTCCATGGGCATTCTTCAAAACTTAAAAAAAAATGCATGGATAGTTAAACGCTTCCTTAAATATTTGCTCCTCTCACCAGCTGTCTGAGTATGCATATATGCATTGTAGCACATCCTCATTAAGCAGTTGGTTTTAAAAAGTCAAATGCTATCTTGAGTATATTAAGAGGCCCCAGACTCCAAAAGCAACTGTTCCATTCTTCTCTCTCCAAATGGCCAGGCTTCGTTTGGAGAATGGTGTCCAGTTTTCAGCACATAATTGAAAAAGAACAGTGCTGAATAAATTGAGAATTCGGAGCAGAAATACCATGATGGTGAAACATGAGGAAATCAAACCTTATTAACAGTTAAAGGATTTGGTATGTTTAGCTTATGGAAGCTGAGGGAAATCCTCCAATTACACAAAAAGAAGAACTTGCTAATTTTCTATGGCTCCAGAGGGTAGAACCAGACCCCATGGTTGAAGAAGGAGCTTCAGACTAGACACTGGAACTTCTTAACCCTACAAGCTGCTAAAGACTGGAACAAAATTCCATAGGAAGGGAGGACTTCTCCTTCACTGAAGACCTCCCAAGAGAGGTCATCTATCTAGATATCTTCTAGCAGATCCAGTATTCAGCAGGGAACTGGACTTCTAAAGACCTTCCAAGGCAACGAGATAACTCAAGACCTCCTAAAAGTTGGACTTCTGATTTCCCATAGGTAGTGCTTACCTATGGGAAATCAGTGCCCGCCTACTCCCAGGAGCGGGCATGTGATGTTTGATAGTATTATGCCCCACTTTGTAAGTGTTGACTTAGCAAGTACCGATACATCTAATGTTTCCAGAAGAAGTTTCCTTAATGGAGAGTTTATGTCAGTGACTGGCCTTCACAATGTCTGGGCCAAGGAAAGCATCCAATGCCATCATCAAAAGCACCTCTCTCAATGAACATGGGATGAACATCGCCTGTATGAGAGGCGGCTGGGATACTTACAGGGAATTAAGTGAGCGGAGTCCCTGGAAAGCATCTGGGGCTACCTCAGAGATTTGATTGTTGCTCAGATCACTAAAACGAGAAAAGATGTCCCAGTAACACAAGCACAGCCTTTAGGACAGCGTCTCTCAGCCTTGGCCACGGTAAGATTTCTTGCTGGCTAGGGAACGCTGGGAGTCGAACAGCAAACCTCTTAAAGTGAGCAAGATAATCACAACTTTCTTATGTAAATTCCAAAGTATTTATCACTTACATTCGCCTGAGCTTTTTATAGGGTGAGAAAGCTCCAGGTGGAATGACCTTGATTGAATTTTGCTCCAGTCGTCTAACAAAAAGAGACAAAAAAAAAACTGGATAGAAAAAAAACACTTCACAGGGAAATAAGATATTATAATTGACACCCACATCCACGAGAAAGAACATGGTATAAAAACATGGGCAAGTTACAGCACAAGAACAGAGAGGCTTCAGTGATTTTTTATTTTAAATGCCGAAAAAAATATTCTGTCAATTTGATATAGATTTAATGATAATGCTAATTTTATTTTGCATTTGTGGCATACTAAGATATCTTATGTTTCATCTGGAACAAGGAAATACAAGGAAATATATTAGATAAATGTTGTTCGATGTTTTGTTAACATAGGATTCATGTTCTCTTCTCCCCATGTAAAATTAGTCAGTAATAGTCAGTCGATGAGAACTAGGGAGGCGGAAAAGATTTTAAAATGCATAGATAAATGTGTTTATAATACAGGTAACCTTCAACTTACACAAGTCCACTCAGCAACCATTCAAAATTACACCCAGTTGATAAAAGGATAGATTTTGGACAGTTTCTATGGTTTTTCCCATAATCATAATAATACTTTTCCCTGCACTGGGAACTAACAAAAGTTTACTGGAAAAGTGAATGGAAAAACAGAAAAACGAAAGGCTGAAAATCTTGCCAGAGACTTGGAAAAACAAAGGCTGGAGTGACCCATTCACAGGAAGAAGCAAATCTTAACTTTCATTGCATTGCAATGCAATGCAGAAAGAGCAGTTCACTAAGGATAGAAGGAAGGCTGCCAGAAATAAATAATTTGTAAATCAGCAGAGCAATTATAAATTATGGTGCTGTTTAATACCGGAATATTTTCTTGATAGACTATTACCGTTAATAGCCACCACTGTTTCTGAGAAGCCTCTTAGGTTCAAATAATAGGGGTCTCTGGATGTACGGGGGACTGACAGTCAAAGAAATTGAGGTGATTGTAGCCAGTGACCTGCATTATGCCTCTCTAAACATTAATATTTTCTGTGCAATGAAACAGTGTAACACAATCATGGTTCCCCCCCCCTCAATATGGAATTATTTGCAAGAATAATGGAATTGGCCATCTTCTACGCTCCACAGATAAGCAAACGTTTCTGCAACATGTCATATGTCAAAGTTGAATAACCATTTGAGATTGGATAACCATTTTTCTGAAATGGTATAGGGCTTCCTGTCTAAGCAGGGGGTTGGACTAGAAGACCTCCAAGGTCCCTTCCAACTCTGTTGTTCTATTCTAAAGTCACTTGGGTACCCTTCTACGTCTGATATAATTAATGAATTAATTGTTCAACAAACCAGCCATTATTTTCATTGGGAATCCCATTGATAGGGTTAAAGTCACAAAATCCTGAGCTGTCAATATCTAACGATCAATATATTGAACTCCTGGAGTTTACCAATTATGTCAATCTGGAATTGCTACTTAAATGTATTTGTCAACTCATAAAATATTTCTATGGTCTTTTTAGAGTTGCCAACCGAAAGGGAGGGGGGAGCAGTGCAGCAGCTTGGAAATTGAAAGTGCATTCCATAAATAGTTTTCAAAGATAGTCACTAGGTGAGTGAAGTTTCTGCCGTGCAAAATTCTAACTGGAGAACATAATTGATGACTCTTGGCTATGGAGGTGTCCCATTGGAGAATATGAATTACGATACACCCAGGGGGTGGAGAGAAAACCAGGGTCAAGGGTGACAATGAATTATGTGTCTCAGAGTCGGCTACACACAGGCAGTGCCGGCATGTTCACTCCCAACGAATCGTTTTGAAGTTCTGGAAGTTTGGCTCAAGACTCATGATTTAATTGGGGTAACTGCCGGAATCCTGACAGTATTTGTGGCAGGGATGAACAGTGCCACCCTCCCCCACCCATTCCCCAACATTGTGTGGGGAGGGACCTAACAGGAATCCACCTCTCTTTATGGACGGAAAGCTTTTGCAAGCAACAATTCAAGTGAGGCAACTACCCAGACGCAAATACAAAGTTGTATCAAACCCACTTTGGTTCATTCACAGGGAAGATAAGTTGCTAGGAAGATATACCTCATTTCTGACTTACATTTCTGTAATGGCTTCCGGAAGATTGGTGGGGATTTCAGTCAGGCCTTTCCCTCGGCAATCCACAATGTTGTTACTACAGGTACACGTAGCGGGGCAGTGCAACACACTACAGGAGGGAGCCATAAAAGACTGGTGACCTGAAAACAGCAACAAATGGCCACTTCTAGAGCTGCAAGACAGGCTACTCAAGAAAAGTGCAACGAAGTCACGGCTGGATCCTGCTTGTTTGATATGCACCCCACTGACCCCCAATCATTACTGTAACAAGTTTTTGTCTGGGGAATTATGGGAGTCAGTCAAGACATCTGGAAGGAATCCAGTTTGGGAAAGATTAGCAAGGTTGCAATATTTCCTTTGCATCCATTTAGACATTATCTGCAGAGCTTCTCATCAAGCATAACCATCAAAAACATTTAGGGGAAGAATAAAAAAAGAACGGTCCACGTGCACAGTTTTATACATCAGCCTTGGACAGCTGGGATGTATTAAGAGTGTCTGACAACTAACCGATGACACAATTGATTTTTTAAATTATTATTATTATTATTACTTAAAGTGAACTTGCCTTCTTCCTCATCTGGAGGTTATGAACAGAGAAAAAGAAACAATGTTAGCAACCTATCACTTGACATTTCATTATTCTTTCATGACAAGCAAACAAGAAACCCACAGATGGTAAAATATGTCATGCGCCCACTGTTTATAGTTCCCATTCAGTCTTTTATTTATTTTTTGTGCAAAAGTAAGTTATTAATTTTGGATGGGGATGTGGAACTCTGCAGAGCCATAATTTCACCTCTTGCACTGAGTTGTTACTATGAAAAAGCAAGAGTTTGTGGCAATTAAATACGTAGCATCTAGTCTTCCTTCTTCTTCTTCTGGCAGATATTGTTGTAGACGTAGGAGTCGATATAACTTCTATCAGGCATAAGCGCACCAACGTGCCTACCGTCCCTGTCCTATTGTTTCTTTTTATTTTTCTTATATGTATCCATTTCATGTACTCATAACTATGTCTATACTTATACCTGTAATCTTATAATCATTTGACAAAATAAATAAACAAACAAACAAACAAACAAATAATTATTGTATGAAGGAACAAGAGACGTAAATAAGGGCCAGAATATCGGTTCCTTTCCCCCCCTGCCAATTTTTCTAGTTATGCTGACTGCATTTTGACAAGCAAAAAGAGGATGTAACCAAGACCCTTGATCTCTAAGTCCATCTTCTAAGTCAGCTTTTTGAAGTGGATGGGCTTCACTGTACCACTCAGAATCCTGGAAAAGCGGACTCTCAGCGGACTTCCATGCACCATTTATTAGTGAAACTAGCATGGCAAATGTGGTTTTTCAATCTTGTCTTGCATCTAATTAAAGGTTGATTGAAAAATCAGGCTTGTCAGATGCTCCATCTTTTCTACCCTCAGAAAGAAAGCTACGCGGAAGAGACCAGAAGAATTTGAAATGTGGATTTACAGGCGGCCATTACATATAAGTTGGGTTGACAAAATCAGAAATGAGGAGGGGATAAGCCACCTGGGAAAGCCAAGGGGAATCATCCAAACCATTCAAAAAAAGCAAAAGTTGGAAAATTTTGGACATGTGAGGCGACACCAGGAAAAATACGGCATGCTTTGCTTAATCCTCCAGGGAAAGATGGAAGGCAAATGAGGTCCAAGCGGAAGAAGAACATCATGGCAGTTTGGACAAAACCCAGGAGCACTTTTTCATGCGGCAGTTGATAAAAATAGGATCGCCAATATGATCGCCAACGTTTGATGACGGATAGGGAAGGAGAAGGAGGGAAGAGGAAGAGGAAGAGGAAGAGGAAGAGGAAGAGGAAGAGGAAGAGGAAGAGGAAGAGGAAGAGGAAGAGGAAGAGGAAGAAGAAGAAGAAGAAGAAGAAGAAGAAGAAGAAGAAGAAGAAGA